AAGAACTATATTGCTTCGGTCGATGTTTAACTTGCCGTTTTTCAACCTTTATTTGTACAAAACGTGACCTCTGTCTTACACTTTATTAATTGTTACCTACGTAATTGAAGAAAATAATGTTGAGGAATTGAATAAAACTATTTTAATGGATTTTGTCGCGTTTAATTTTACTTATTATTAATTCCCGACGTTATGGGTACTGCAAAGCACCCATAACGTCACAGGGGAACTGAGGTGATTGACGTACCGATGTCAAAGTTGACCCGTGGTACTTTCAGCTTTTCTAATTGTTACTTTTAGTCCGATTTACGCAAAATGAGCTTACTGTATTTTGAAGTTTTGCAGTGGTATGCTTAGGCTCAGTTTTGATTTTACCAAAGCATTTTAAGCATTTTAACTCAAGCATACCACCGTAGGACTTCAAGACACAGTAAGCTCATTCTGCTTAGATCTAAGACTATTTATAAATCATACAAACACTTCTTCGATGCGGAATTCGAACCAGCGGCCCGTAGCACCGCAGCCAATCGCTTAGCCATTGCGCTATCGATTCGAGACGTCAAAAGTTCGTTTTAAGCAGTTAAGCTATGAAATTTTTAGTTAGAGCCATTCTTCGAAATTTTTAGTAGAAAATTTAAAAAGGTAAAATTTAAAACACATAAAGCATACAACACAAAAGCAATTTACAAAGTTACTGATATAATTATGCTTACTACTTACTTACTAATAATATATGTATAATTATAATAAAACTAGCAATCCGCCCCGGCTTCGCATGGTTGATTTCTGGATCTCAACAACAGCGCCATCTACCGAGTCCAATGGTGAATGACCTATTATGTCGAAATCGTACACTTCTAAATGCCTTTTCTAATTTGGTATATATATATATAACTCCTTGTTTTTGACAACGTATAAAAAAGTTAATTTTAAAAGGAACCTTTTTTATATAATTATCTTAAAGACCAACACTAACACCAATAGAACAATGAGTTTTATGAAAAAAAAATCACCTGGTATGTTGTTAAATGTCTTCTGACTTTAAAGCAATGTATTCTGTACACGTTCTTGGCTTTAATTATTAAATGTCTCTCTCTCTCTCCTAAGGTGAACAAATTCTCAAGTAGCTACCAACGTAACAAAATAGGTGCGCGATAAGCGCGAGCTTAACGTGAGAATTGAAGTAAAATCGTGGAAAAGTTCACATTAGCTAAAATTACTATATTACAACGACAATAAGTTTTCAGTGCAAAATTCTTTGCTTTGCCTTTTTATATTAAAAGTAAGGAATATGCAAAATGATAATTTGTAAGTGAAAATGGTTAACGTCTATAGATTTTATGAACCCTAGAGTATTTTAGTCTAGAAATCTAGGGAAGGTTAGATAAGGTAAAGATAGTCAAGTTAAGATAGTCAAGAAATCTAGGGTTAGATTAAATAGGGTGACCTTAACTACTAATCACAAAACATATTTATTACTTGCTGCAAATTCATATGTCAAATGAAAGAATTCGATGCATTAAAAACATCTTCGCTGCTATTTTGTTGTAATTTTACAAAAATGAACCTCGGTGACCGAAATTATTTCCGGCATTATTCGTGATTTTATTGCGGGTCCGCAACGCAAATGTTAACAGCAACCTCAAGGAAAATTACTACATCCATTTCTGTTTACAGTAATAGCCAGTGTAATGAAACGCTTGTCATGATTTGGGAACGTGGGGTTTTATGGGCGAACTTTTTTTTCCTACACAATAGTGGTCTTTCCTTTGTTATAACAGAGAACAGATAAAATATTTTTGACGTCGTGAACAAGTTCAGGCGAATTATTTTTATTAAGTCCACCAATGAATTTGTCACTTTCTAATGCTGGCAGGTTTGAAGTTCTTGCATTCGGCGTGGACTTCGAAAAATATTTTTTTCTCGTTATTTTTTTAAGAACACTAGCAATTCTTTTAAACACTACTAATACTCCCGCTAACCACTTATACTAGGCTTAAAATTAAGACGCTTGTACTAGGAGTTTTAACGACAGTGAGTCAAAGTCGAATGGCGATTATTAAAACCGCGGTTGGCGGACTAGAATAGAATAGAACATTCTTCTGCAGCATCTTCCTGATAAGAACTCAAAATAACAAAAAGATGCAGTTGCAAACCCGCCGACCAAACGTGGCAACTATAAAAATATCTATGAGGCACTCTATGCCTATGTTCAGCAACAAAATGAAGGGAAAAAAAATTATGGTAAGTGTTGCTTAAAAACTGAAGCCATGCTGCAGCTATATTAATAGTATAGTTGTAGCACGAATGGGTCGGCTCGACCGGGGAAGGACCACGCTCTCATAGAATACCAGCGTATAATAGCTTAATGCTGCTGTGTTTCGTATGGTGAGTGTAGAGAACCGAAGACCCTTTTTACTGGAAAAGAGGCATTCCATCTTAATCCTCACGGCCGGCAACGCATCTGCATTTTAATTCGCAAACGAAAATAGATGTAGATGTCTATGGGCCACAGTAACGACTTACCATCAGGTGGACTGTGTGCTCGTTTGTCACCCTTATTCTATAAAAAAAATTGAAATTAAAAAAATATTATTAGGAAAATAGTCAAAGAATAAATCAATACTTTAGCTACAACATATAATATTTTCCTTTTTATTATATTGAATACTCTGTTTGAGTAAAATAAGCGACTGAAATAACAAATATTTATTTTGCGGGAAAACCACCCCTCGACTGTAGTTATAATTGAAAGCGCCTACTTGCAAAATGGAAAGCCGAGTTCGGAACTAATCCGCAGCTTAGAACAGTTTCCAATGGAAAAAACCACGAATTAAACGAGCGCCGAGGATTTGTTTCGCTCAAATTGCCTAGAAATTGCTCAATTCGAGCAAAACAAATAAGTGTGAGCTACGAATATCGATATGGAGTAGATATTTATGAAGTATTTTTATTGAACACACGGAATAACAATACCCCTTGGCATACGATACGGCAATCTTCGAAACTTCACTCGAATTTATTGCGATGGTTACGGTAAAAGGGCTGCGAGCCTACTTCGGCGGCTTCAGCGCGATATTATTCGGAGGGTGTACGTTTTGTTTACGAATTGCTCGTTTGCGCGTGACTCGCCCCAGTTTGAGTCCCCACGAGCAATCACTGCTGATAATTATTTTCAAAATTACTCGATACATCACTATGGAGCATTTACAGCAATTTAGTGCTATAATGGGCTCTTTTAAATATTAATGTATTTCTATAATATTTAATAATTTTTCACATTGTAGTGTCAAATATAAAAGTCCATAGTCTATGCCTACACCTCTGGGTGACAGGCGTGAGTGTTTATGTATATATTGTAGTGCTACACGATTAGTAATTTCGCGATTAAATTGTCTCGTGGATGTTGTAAAAGCAAATTAGAAAAAATAGGAGTATCTCTGGAATAGATAGTAATTTTCTTTATTTTTTTAATAATAGTTTGATTGTCCATTTTTTTATTTTTTTATTTATTTAGATCAGTTAATAAGGGACAACTTCATGTTGGTTGTTAATGTGAAGCTTTACCTTACTTGGCCACTAAAACACAGTGCCTTATAAAGTACGAGAGTAATGTGCTAATAAAACAGAATAAATGGAACTTTTATTTCTCTTAACTATTTTACTAAGCAGAATTGTTATACTGCTTAATGAAAATACATACACAGACTTGTTGGTAGGAAGTTATATTTTGTATACAGAAGATATAACAAGTAAAAGTAAGAATATAAAGTAACGGCCTGAATACGTCTTACTGCTGGGAACAGGCATCATCTCATTTCTGGTAGGCTTTTGGGAAGAAGCTGTGGCAGTGCCGCAGCCTCGTTGGGTTGATTTTTGCCATAGTTACCACGCTTAGCAGGCGTATTTTCTGAGCTACGTACCCATCTTCTGTTCCATTTCCCTCTGCCGCTTCTTACGAGCCTCACGGGACAACATTGGGTAATGGATTCTCATACGCCGTCTGTAGCGACAACACAACGGCAACAACATTACCTACTATATACATCACTGAACCATTTACCAACTATTTAGGACGACGATAATTACTACTCGTGTTCTACGACTATCACACTCTTACAAAAATTAGAGGAGAATATTTAATACGTGGGAGATCCATGCTGAAGCTATATTAGTAGTATAGTTGTAGCACGAATGGGTCGGCTCGTCCGGGGTAGAACCACGCTCTCACAGAATACCAGCGTAAAATAGCACCTTAACACTGCTATGTTTCGTGTGGTATGTGTAGAGAACTGAAGACCGTTTTTACTGGAAAGGAGACATTCCATCTTAGTCCTCACGGGTGACGACGCATCTGCATATTGATTCCTTATTGAGGATAAATGTCTATGGGTCACAGCAACCACTTACCATCAGGTGGATTGTGTGCTCGTTTGTCACCCTATACTATAAATAAAAATATTGCTCTCTATATAAGATCTTCTACGTACATATTCATACAACTTTAGTAAAGCTATAACTCTATAATGAGTCTTGATCCTACTGCTGCCTATATACATATTTACCCGGCTTCATACATAATAGCAGACACACGTACGAGCTTCCATGGAAGAGTATGTTACTAAAGATTAAAGACCCCTAAATGCGTCAACGTGCTCCCTGGGACATCTTTCACGTAAATTAAAACTCGGATGAAATATCCTGCGCGTAACCTACGAAGCAATTTCACATGCAAGGTTAACTTACTAAGGATTACATTCCCGCGTCACCACGAAATTTATCTAAGAAATTGCAGTGAGACGGATTGTGATGAAAAAACGTCTCCAAGAAATGTTATGACGAAACTTTTCTGGAGTTTAGGTGACTTTGCATTCAAATATAATAAAGTCGACATTGGTTATTAAAAATTGCAATACACTCACGCAAAACCACTTTACTAGAATCTGATATAAGTAATTACCTATAACATTTAATTTAAAAAAAAATGTTTTTTTTTACAGAAAGTCGTACATGCACATCTTCGGAGTTTCGGTGCAAGACTGGACGTTGTATTCCAATGTCATGGCGCTGCGATAATGAGAAAGACTGTTCTGATGGCTCTGATGAAGAACCTGGCACATGCAGTAAGTAATGGGTTTTCACTTAAAGGTAAAGAAACGAGAGGGAAACGAAACTAAAGCATAATTTTACGACTTTATTACCTTTGTTTAGATTCTATTACGTTATTTCACTTATAAAACAAAAAGTTATGTTTTCTTTATTTCCTTGTACAACGAGCGCTTTCGTCTTATTTATTAACAAGAAATGTCGTTTGATAAATATAAATAAAATATTTACCTACTTAGTTACTCTAGCTTAAAGATAATTATTGTAGATTTTTTCTAAAAAGTTATAATTATCTAAACAGCATATATTTCAACAGCTAATATAATGTATTAATTGTTATATGTACATACAGTCGTATACAAACAAATGGTATCGTATATTATACGATAAGTATATAATTTAATAATGCATCTGAGTATTTTTCCTTTAAATCTATTTTCCAAAAAATATTATCTTATTTATGAGGAAAGTTTTAAGGTAGCACGCGTACTCCGTCTTTAGCTGGGCTTCGGACGCGGATTAAAATCTTAATTACGGTTCAAAGTTTTAAAGATTAATTTTATAATCTTTAACCTTTCTTCTACGATATTTCTGTTACGAATCTGGAATTTTAGTTTTATAAGAATTACATTCGATTACGCAACCGAAGAATGTTTTAGGGTAAAATTAAAATAGAAATAAATCGATTTCAGCAATAAATTGTAGCGTATCACGAGTTTAGGTATTAACCACTCATTTAAAAGGTTTGTGTCAATGGTTAATTTAACATGTATATTCAAAGTAATCAAGTAACACAGCGAGGATAATACAATGAAGCGAACGTTGAAGGGTTCGTTCGGTATTACTTTCGTGTTCAAAACAGACGAACCGGTAAATTATGTCTGCAAAGAAATGAGGATTGTCTGCAATTTTACGATCTCTCCTTTATAGGAATAAAGTAAATATATATTTATATGTATCTAATCACTTTTTCAATATACATATATGCTCCTACATATATCAGAGTATTTTCAAAATGAAACGAAAGCAATTTTAGTCAGAATAAGGTTTCTTTTGTGAATAAGGAGAATGGGTACTCTTACGAACAGGCAGTAGAAGAATTCGGTGGGAAAAAAAAATACCTTTTCAACATCGGGTTCACAACCGTTAATAATAAATAAAATTATTGTGATAAATATCAACATTCTTAAGAACCTCTTCTTGCTTATTCAATATCCATGTTAAAGGTATTTAAAGCTTTAATTAGCAACACGAGAAAATATTATATATATTCTATAAATATCATGTATTTCTTTCTAGACAAGTTTTATGATCAAACAAAGCTAACAAACTTGCAGAAGTTTATACGTTTTAATCTTGGCTTGTGTAAATGTGGCTACCGTAACCCGCAACTTTGTACACTTATTGCCAGTGTGACGAGGCTGCACATAATATTAAAATCATGTTGATATCGCGCCATGTTTTGTAGGAGTTGAGTTCACACAAAAGAAAGAAAAACATAAAGAGATGTATAAGTGAAGTTTGTTTTCCTTATTTATAGAAATAATACTGACAAACGAACATTCAGCCACCTGATGGTAAGTTGTTGCTGTCATCCTTGAGGATTAAGCTACAATGCCAGCTACTAGTAAGAAGAAGTCTCCGGTTCTGTTCACTCACCATATTAATATTAAATTAACACCACTATAGTGCTGCATTTCTTGAGATCGTGGTCCTTTCACTGTAGAGCCTACCCATCAGCATAACTTTATCATGATGTGTGAAGAGATATATTCAGAGTTTTCTTACATTTGCAACATTATCATCGTTATCATTTTAATTCCATGGCAAGTCTATGCTGGATACAGGTATCCCCTAAAACTGTTTCAAAGCACTGTTCAGAGCTACAAACATCCGTCGACATACCATGTTATCAGTTCTAGCAAGGTCATCACTCCATCGAGTGCACAACAAACTGTGTTTGTCTATCGTATCACCTAAAAAAAAAACGGGCAAATTATCTATGTAATTATTGGTAGGTGTCGCAGCTTGAAAAGTCCTATGTATATAAATTTAATAAAGCCTATTTCTGAGTATGTAATACGAAAAGGCTAAAGAATTAGCATTTAACTTGGTAGAGCCACGCTGCAGCCACATAGCTGTAGCAAAAATAGATCGTCTCCATCGGGGTAAGACAACGTTTTCATAGAGTGCCAGAGTGAAACAGTATGCACTATTATGCTGCTGTGTTTCGTATGGTGAGTGTAGGGAAGCGGAGATCCTTTTTACTGGTAACGAGGCATTCCATCTTAGTCCTCAGGGGTGACAACGCATCTGCATTCTGATTCTTAATCGATAATAAATGTGGTTGCCTAGGGGCCATAGCATCCACTTACCATCAGGTGGACTATATACTCGTTTGTCAACCTTATTCTTTAAAAAAATTTGAAACGCAAAAATAAAGTTTTGCAAGTTTAATGTTCCTGCGCTAAGGATATACAAGTGGAGTGTCTCAGTTTATATAATTTATTAGTTGCGACTTAAAACAACATTACGCTCTAAATAGGGCTATTTAGTTCAATTAATTACATTTTAGTCTCAACACAGCCTGTGTTGAGCGTAGACATTCATTAATTTGAACTTGTCCCCAACAGTTAACGACTTGTGCACAAGCGGTACGAATACATTTTTAACGTTCCAATGACTGACACTATTCAAAAGAATCATTTTATACCCATTGTTTGTAAAAATATTACCGATACATAAAGTATTATATATCGACATTATTATTTCACAGTATTTTTTAATTTATTCCTCAACAATATATAAATGTACAAAGAGCCAAATTTAATTTTATTAGTGTTCAATCACAATTTTAATAGCAGTCAGCAAATAAGCAATGAAAAAAAAGAATAGAATAAATTCTATATTGTACTTATTATTTTTACTATTTAAATGTAGTTTTTGTATACAAGGTAAATTTTGATATCTTTATCACATTAAATATATCAGGTACAAGGTAAATTTAGGACTAAGTAAAACAAATTAGTAAATCAAAAATCAATAAAGCTTTCGCAAACAGTGTCACAGCGCAGCAGTTGTCCGGAACACAAGTTTGTGTGCACAAGTGGTCACTGTATACCCGCTGCTTGGCATTGTGACGATGCCGCTGATTGTCCAGACGGCTCCGACGAACATCAGTGTGGTAAGGGCATGATCAGGGCAAAAATGCACCATAGGCATGAATCAAATCAATCAATTGGCATGTTTAAAATCATTGGGGAAATCACCACATGCTACGAATAGCAGCATGTTAAAAAGTGACTTCACTAAATCTTTATTGTAATCTAAATTTTTTAACCTCATATTAGGGAATTCAGAAAAAAAGCACACAGAAGTAAGAAGGAAATTTAAGACAGCTAAAACATGACTTTTTAAGTATTAAAACTTTTCAGATCAGTTGTTAAATATCCGCTGTCGTCTAAACACAGGATAAATTACTACGGTAGACAATATGCAGCGACGGAATTTTCTCGTTTAATGTTTTGTGTAGAGATTCATTTGCATTCTACTTAGCATGAGCATGACTTGGGTTGGCAGAAGTGGAGGCGTGCGGGCCCGAAGAATTTACATGCAGAGGAAAACATGGAGAATGCGTGCCCCTCACCTGGATGTGCGACGACAATCCCGACTGCTCTGACGGTTCTGATGAGAAAGCATGCAGTAAGGGTTTTTCTTATTCTTTGTCTGTTTTGATAAAATCTTTTTTATATAATGTATATTACTATGTGCTTGCTATGACATGTATGTTAAATTTGATTGATAATTAGAATATAGGATTGAAGGTTAATTAAAATGCATCATGCAATTGTGCATGCTCGACATTATTTCACAATATTTTTCATGTTGTTATACAAAGAGCCCAATTTGAATTCAATTTTATTTTTATTTTTTTTAATCACAATTTTAATAACAGTTTTATAGACTACACAAAAAATTTTGTAACTAATGTAGGTACTGTTACTGACAGTGTATTTAATTGCAATGAAATGCATTAATAATAAGTATATAATAATCGTTTATTTCATAACGTGGTCCGCAATAATAATAAATAATTTCTAAATTATTTTTATGTTACATTTCTATTTTAAAATACAGCACTAAGTCGATTCAATGTCCATTGCTTAGTTTTCAAAACCATGTTTAACTACACAATGAATACCGCTATCAATCAATCGACTAAGGAATAACCTCCGGGTAATTCTCATTCTGTAAACGTCTGCCCCATCCATCGATAAATTTCTTCGGACTCGTCCTAAACTATGAAGAATGATTTTTCGCGTATTCTTTAATATCCACAAACTTTCTTAACGATGAAAGGTCCGATACGGAGACATCGTCACTCATTTTTCAAAGCGTCGGCACAAAAAGTGGCATTGTTATAATTTCGGCACGTATTAATCTCTATTATGAGTTGCTTTTTTATACGCATTTTGTACTATGGTAGTTAGTAGTAACTCTGCTTGTTAGCGTTATGCTTCCTAAAATAAGCAAAAGGGAACACTGATGTCTTTTTTCTGTTCTTTTATGTTCGTTCGATCCTCCGTTTTATCACAGGATAATATTCTTCTAACCTAAGTATTTGATATAATATAAAAGACAGTCTGATGAATTATAGAAATGGATTCTGTGTGGTTAATTTCAGAAGAGTGTGTGGTAATAAGTATAAAAAAAATCAAGACTATATGAAATCTCAATTGAAACTTTACTACTAGAACAACATAATATGTTATTTGTAATGTTAGTAAAGCACGAGGCTAATAGCGGAACATGAAATAAACAATTTCCCCTTTTAAATAAGAAATTAGGTCATAATCATCATCATTACAGTCTATAAAATTCTACTGTCGAACACAGGCCTCCCTCATAAATTGCCGATGTTTAATTTATCTCCTGTTTTATTCCCTTCTGTCGTCACTTACAACACTCACGGGATGATATGGGGTAGCGAGAACTTAGATACCTGAACTTAATACTCCCGGCTGTCGGTCCGGGAAATACACGTGACGTGTATCGAGAACTCCCTAGCATTCCCCATGGTGTACTCAAATGATACCATGCAATAAAGGTGAGGTAGGATGAATGGAGATGTACGAGAATAAGGAAAAAATCATTTTATTGAAACTTGTATTAAAACTAGATACACTTTCCTCAGAATTATGAAAATAAAAATAGAACAAAACTTACATGCTTGATACTATTTAAACAACATTTAATTTGTGTCTAAAAATAATGCTCAAACAAAAGAAATCAACAATGTGCCTAATATAAATTGCAGCCATTTTTACTCGTAGAAGAATCCAAATACAAAATAGAAATTAACTCGGGGCAATGATAACTACTCTTATTTAATGTGTTTGTCTTTTCTGGAAGGGAATTTAATTAAACACAGGGATGCTCTTGGAGGGATACGTTACATTTGTAACTATGAGATTTTTCTTATAATTAAAAGTCTTGCAATTTTCGGAAAATACAAAACAAACGTAATAATCCAAATGAGTAAAATTTATTAACCTTTATCATTGGTTTTTCTAGAGAAAAAATTAAGGTCGTGGGTGAATGAACTTTTTGATTACTGCCATTTGTTATTTCATAACGAAAGCAATCATCTTATTTTGGTAGATTACGGGAATGCTAGTTGGTAATATTAATACAGGGTTATTTTTCAAAGAGTAGGCAAATTTTAAACTTAATTTCAAATATATAAATAATGATATACAGTTTTTGCAGTTTTTGAAAATACGAATAAATAAGGCTTCTACTCTTATTTGAAATTATCCCAAATTGAATGTGATTTATGGGCAACAAGGTTTTTGCCTACCGATCGACCCTTACAAAAGTGTTCGTGAGCAGTAAAATCAGTTAAAATAATGCATTACCATGCATTTTGAAATTAAAAGATAAAAGGGACAGAATGTTTGAGATTTTTTTAAGTAATTTTTCTTCACCATTTGCCTACATTACTTATTCTGAACCTTCTCTGCAAATTTGGCCGGTCATTGCAAACTACCCACTACCCTAAAACATCCCGTGGGTGTCGTAAGACGCGACAGAGGGAATGAACCAGGAGATGGACAGCAGCGTATTTCTAATAACAAATAAAAAATGTATACAAAACCGGCCTTTTGAGGCAATCTTTTGGAAAGGCCTATGTTCAGCAGTGGCCTTTTTATAGGCTGTAATGTAATGTAATGATAACGAAAATGGTTTTAAATTACTACAATTCCTTATAATTCATTCCGTTTCTAGTATACTCATAAATTATTTTAAGTGCTTATATTTTACCGAAGTTTTATTAACACCCTGGGGAATTTTCAACAAAATTCCAATTATTTTTTTATTAATGTAATTGTGCTCTTTGTATTCAGTTTTAAGGTGTAACGTTTCATTCTGTGTTTCGAAATACGCTGCAGAAAATACTCGCATACCTACACTTTATATGTGTAAATGTCTGAAAACGAAATCCTCTTGGGAAACTGAGTCTGCAGCCGTTAAAATTTTTAAGTCATGTACACATTGTTAGTAAGTTTCTGCATTTTTTGTTTTTCTTTTCTAATCTATATAAGACTTAAATATAAATCTACTATTAGACTTAAACTCTAGTCGAAGAACCACAACTAAAATTTCAATCATATGAATTATTGATATTCCAATCCTAGTAATACTTACAAATTGTTTCATTTGCAGTGGCACCCCTGTATTCATACCACTTCACGGTTAATTTCCGGATGTAATTAGAATAATATCTACACTTTGTTTCAGCCCAATTTTCCACAAATGTGATCATGCTTAGTAACTTTCAAACTAATATCATAACAGTGAAACTATTCCAAACTAATTTATAATACAATTTTTTATGCAAAATAACATTCACTTTATTATTTTAAGGAATTCAACATTAAATTTTATAAAATTATATATTTAAATATATAAAAATATTTATCAATATAAATATTCGTAGAAAATTTTATTGGATCAAACCGTTATTCAATCTTCTTCCAACAACAACCAGGGTTTATGTAGTGAATTAAATTTTCTTTACCACTAGTATATTACCTATCTATATTCAGCATAATGACTAAGAAAGTAAACAAAATAAATTGGTTTAAGTTCGCATTCAGGCAAACAGAAAAAAAAACTTGAATGAAATGTGACCAGAATTTATCAACTAAAAACTTCATCTCAAAGTTCACCTTTTAAGGCGTAGGTATATCTCGACTCAACTTAAAGTGAATACAGCTGCCAATGACCTTGGGTGTTTATGCTCTTTAGTACCGTCTGCACCCACGCATGGAGCCGGGAGACGCAAAATCAATAATTATAATTGAATTTTATTCATAAGAATGTAATGAATTTAACTTACAGTGTAAAGTACAATGGAACACCTACCGACTAGTTAGTTACGTAGGTAATTCACATAAGCCGTTTTCTAAAAATAACTCAATAAATGTAATATACCTATCTTTAGTTATCATTTCATTCTGCATAAGTTTATTAGCTATAAATTAAATAAAAATTGATAATGAAGAGACATGACAAAACTTTGTTTTTTCAGATCATTTTGATCACTTCTTACCGAGAGATAGGGAGTTCGAAAAGTACTTTTGCTTTATTTTTGGCAGCTGTTTTCACCTGCATTAAGAAAAAAAAATTATGTTATACTGTTATTTTCACCTGTACACTGACACTGTACAGCTTAATAATAATTTTGAGCCGTATACTATGAACCCTTTATTGTAACTAACCATAGTTTACTTCTACGAAATATTAGTATTCAGATAATAACATAACAATATATGCGTAGATGAAACGTGTCGATCGGACGAGTTCACTTGTGGGAACGGCAAGTGTATTCAGCAGCGGTGGGTCTGCGACGGTGATGACGATTGCGGCGACGGCAGCGATGAACTAAAATGTCCGGCGCCAACTTGTCAACCGCACACACACTTCTCCTGCGCCGATGGTCACTGCATCTCGGCTAGATGGCGTTGTGATCGCGACATCGACTGCCCTGATGGAAGTGATGAGATGGTACGTAATTTTACTGACGCACTATTCCAAATTTTAATATAAAATTTCAGAAAACACTATATTAGTTTCTAATATATATATACATACAATACATCCCCTTCTCTACTAGATATTTATATTTACAGAGACCTAAAAAAAAAAGTTTTACTTAATATAAGTACTACCTATGTAGAAACAGATAAAGATATATTTCCACTTTTCGTATTTTCTTCAGTTTCACTACTAAATAACGGAACATATTGGTACTTAGTCGTGAAGTAATATTCTTTGTAGGTAAGAGACTACCAATCGAAATATTATACGTTTTAGAAAAAAAGCTCTTTGTGCCAAAGCCCATCGAAGGCCTTCGCTATGTCGAAAGTAACGACCAAGGCCTCCCTCTTGGACTCTACTGCTTTCGCTCATCAATGAGTCAGGTAAATTAGAAGATTAGAACTAGAACCAGGTGGTTAGTCCACCAATACGGTCACTAATCAGCTGGTGGTTCTCAAGGTACCTTGTGAGCTGGCAGTTTATAATGGATTCCATTATTTTGGAGGACAAGGTGGCGTTGGTGATATATACGTTTTCCGTCACTAGTTTGTTTCTCCATACGTCGAAGACACGCTATATTGGTTGCCAAATTCTACTGAGCAAAAGAATATTTTCAAATGGAGATAAATATTATTCTTAACAGAAAACGAATAGAGTTATTCCCTGAAATCTATATGGTTTATGTACATATGAACGTACAAATACGCCATTAGGTCCAATTATTGTGTTGAATAAACAAAGCTCCCTGTCTATAATTTCCTTTGCGCTCAAAGCTATGTAACATTTGTTAATGTTACAATATCCGTAGTTCGTCATAATTGCGTTATACACGTTATTTACTTCTATCACTTCTATGTACAAGTACGTAGTGATTGAACACGCGTTATCAATTAGCTATTATGTATAAAGCTTGCTCAATTAAGCGCAGATTATTTTTTGTTTTCAATTAGTTTACAACACCATAGTTTAGTATAGCTTCAATTGTCAGACTATTTATTATAAGAAATAAATAAGACCCATATCCAAATATTGGTTTAAATATGCTATCATTGTTTAGTTAAATACGCTGTTAAGTTAGCCACGTTGCAGCTGCAACGTGGCTGCAGCATCAGATCGATCAGGGAGGACCACGCTCACACAATACCAGCATTATAGCAGAATACTACTACTGTATTTCGTATGCTGAATGTAGAAAACCATTTTGCTGGTAACGAGGCATTTCATCTTAGACCTCCGGGACGAAAATGCATAATTTGCATTTTAATTCTTAAATGATGAAAGATTTTTGTTATAGGATAGGGTGACAAACGAGCACACAGTCCACCTGATGATAAGTGGTTGCTGTGGTCCGTAGACATCTACATCTATTTTTGTTTGCGAATTAAAATGCAAATGCGTTGTCAGCCGTGAGGGCTAAGATAGAATACCTATTTTCCAGTAAAGAGGGTTTCCGGTTCTCTACACTCACCACACGAAACACAGCAGCATTAAGCTGCTATTTTATGCTGGTATTCTGGGAGATACAAGAACTTTTACTTTTCCTTATTTTAACTGTTACAAAATCTTACAACGTACATATTGCCTAGATTTGTAAAGGCAAATAGGCACATTTACACGCAACTACCTTATGTAACTTGGAAATTATTAAATGAAAGTTAAAATAGAATAAGTAACAAGTATATTAAAAATCTGCAAATCTCGAATTATAGTTATATACCTAAGACGTTCTGATTGACGTGCTCTTTCAATTTTATTGTCATCAACTTACAGGATTGTCCAACATCGCCGAAAGTAATCTCGCCCTGCATTTCCACTGAGTTTCAATGCCACGATCGGATGACTTGCGTGCACAAAACTTGGGTGTGTGATGGAGACCGTGACTGTCCTGATGGAGGAGACGAAGCCCCAGAACTATGTCGGGGCAATATCACCTGTCGTATAGACCAGTTCCAGTGCAAGGATCACAGCTGCATACCCGGCGCTTTATACTGCAACGGGGAGAAGGACTGCCCGGATGGAAGCGACGAGCTAAATTGCAGTAAGTTCAAGAACAGTTTGTTACGTCAGATAAATTTCCGTTCGAAGTTCGGTTAATTTCAGCAGTTAATTTCAGTTCTGTAGTTGTTTTGTCTCCGGTAGCGACTACCGTCGATATTAACTTTGGTATCAAGTGCTTCCCGCTTAGTTTGGCGAAAACAATACGATTAAATCTGTTCCAACTAAATTAGGGGTAAAATTGAGCAATTGGTTACGAAATTTAATTTATTATTCAGTCTTCTTTCCTTTGCTTCTTAATTTAATATTGGCATGGACTGATACGACTTAGGAGCTTTTAAAAAAAGGAGATTGTGGTTTTATTATATATTTATATTAGTTTATTATATTATATATTGTGGTTATATACTGACATTAGCCGATGCTAAAGCTAAGCAAAGCGAGGTCTTTGACAATCCTCTTACTTTCCAGACAATGCAGAGGTAATAAAACAACATACAATTTGCATACAATTTTTGTTTAAATAAAATTAAAAAAAAATATTGTTCGAGTTTTTAAAAAAAAAGTTATTTCTATACGTTTGAATAATGATCCTGATAACGTACTTAACGGGAACCACAGGGTTTTTGTTATATGTTGTATAATAGCAGCATATCACAAATAACATACATATATATTTTGATGAATACAATTGTGTAATGATTTGCAGCACGGCCGAAGCCGATATGCGACAAGAAGACGGAATTCGATTGTGGCGGCGGCATGTGCATACCTCTATCTAAAGTATGCGACAAGAAACCAGACTGCCCCAACTTTGAAGACGAGCCGCACGATAGATGCGGGGAGGATGAGTGCGCGAGGAACAACGGCGGTTGTACACAACGCTGCGTGGACACACCAGTAGGCTATTACTGCGACTGCGAAAAGGGATACAAGCTCGTCGACAATCGTACATGTGAAGGTGAGTTAATTAATGTATGGCTCGCTGAGCCCAATTTTTCTCATGTTTGTAATAGATAATATCCTCCAGGCCAAAGTTCTGTCACGGCGACCACTCTCAAAGTTACCTGCGCGGTACAGAAATATAGTTCACGAGTGTGTGTTCAAGCACAGATGCACTCTCTATTCCCTCACTCTCATAGCACAGAATAAATAATAGTACTAACGTACAGAAGTTGCACTCTTTTGATATTGACTGCTTGCCGACGTTTGAATAGCCTACATAGTTATTATTAATTAGATAAATCGCGCATGCAAGCTAAATAAAACTTTATCGCTGCGTGCGATTGTCAGTATTACTTTGCATCTTTTCTCCTTAACGTCACAACGGACTTTCCGTTGTTGCTAAGGGCTGAAAAAATACATTGTGAAATGGCAAGTTACTTAGGTAAAGTACCTATGCTGACTATAATCGACCATATTATCTACTATGTGAGTTCTGTGATGCTCAACGCATGCAACTTGCAAGGGCATTCGTCGGGAATCGCGATGCTTGGTTCGTATAGGTAGATAGCGTAAACAACAGAAAAACCGGAAATACGATTCCTAACAGAAATATGATCGTAATCTACTTAGTTGAAAATCTTGTAAACTAAGTTTTAATTTCAGATTTTGTGCTATTATAATTTAAAATATTTTAATTACAAAGACGAGTATAGGTAAGTAAGTAGGTACTTGGGTAGTGAAGTAAATGTCAACTAAGTTTTGTAATAAAATACCTACTTTGGTGTTACTTCTGTAGTTAAATTATTACTTAATTATTTTTTCGCTATAAGTACCTATCTAACAAAAAATGAAATAAATTTACCTTTCATTATCCTTCGGTAACTGAAAAAATGATATATCTGAATCTGAATTTAATTGCTCATTAAGCATCCATCTCCGCACCAATTATAGTAGGAACGACGTTTTGCCATTATAATTTATCAAATAGATAGGTAATATACATATATATTCTTAAATTACATTAAAACTTTTTAACTATTTTATCCTACAATTAAATATACCAAACACTAAACAAAAACTATTTCGACGAGTATTTCAATACGTATTTACAAAAAATTATTTACGTAAACAGCGTTAAAAAAACTTTAACATTCAATCGTATAGAGCGCGCTAGCCCCGACTGCGATCTACCCCTGGGGCAGCTCGCGATTTTAAGTAATTATTTCATGCAGGTAGCAAGAGTGACAGAGGCCTGCTCATAGCCCAATGGGAATTCGATACTACCGGATCATGATCACCAAATCAGGCGCAGGATCAACGGCTTTACGTGCTTTCGACGGCACGGGTCTTAAATTGACAGAAAAAAAAATCAAAAAGTAACTAGGGATTCGAAGCCTGGACCTCGTACTCAGTTTCCGAATCTAGACCAACGAGACAGTTGAAATATCGTCCCATAAGTGTGGTAAAACATGTCTACGAGAAATGTCAAAAGAATCTTACGGGTACCGATAGGTTAAAATGCCCAGACAGGCGACAGCTCCTCACATTAACCAGAAGAGACTGAACTCACTACACTCAAGTCGTAACAAATACTAAGCCATCTTTTAATTATGATTATAATTATGTCTGGAGCTTCTTTTTGGTATGCGAGACGCTATTGAAATCAAATGTCAAAATATGAAATAAATTGTGTTGCCTCGAAAATTAGCATATTTTAACACCTATATCGGTAACTGAAAAAAATAACAATAGTAAATTGTGTGATGGCGGCATAAGAATATTCACCACCCTATTTCGTCTAGGTCATTATTTGTCGGGCTCATTCTCCCTTATTGATCCCTCATTAATCTTATTGAGGCATGTTCTATGTGTATCAAGTTAGTAATCTGTCGTTTTGTATTGAACAATGCACTTTCGGCATACTAAATACTTGTGTCCTCACAAATAGATAAAGTTCTTGTCGTTATTTTTCGAGCTTATTCTCAGTAAATAGTGTGTTCCACTTTTGTGTTCCGCTTGTGTGTTGTGTTGTTGAGCCGTGGTGTTTGCTGTGTGGCTTATTCTCTCTACACATAAGTGGATAATGTTTTCCACTTGTTAACCGTGGTAGTTCAGGGGCTAAGCTAAATTCCGGCATACTAAATGCTTGTGTCCACACGAATAGATAAAGTTCTTGTCATTATTTTTCGACCTTATTCTCAGTAAATAATATGTTCTACTTATGTGTTGTAGAACAACACAACACATAAGTGGATAATGTTTTCCACTTGTGAACCGTGGTAGTTCAGGGGCTAAGTTAAATTTCGGCATACTAAATGCTTGTGTCCACACAAATAGATAAAGTTCTTGTCGTTATTTTTCGAGTATATTCTCAGTAAATAATGTGTTCCACTTATGTGTTGTAGAACAACACAACACATAAGTGGATAATGTTTTCCACTTGTTAACCGTGGTAGTTCAGGGGCTAAGCTAAATTTTATTGTACGCGACCCAATGAAACTGTTAATTGTAATGTTAAGTGCATATTTATCACGTGCTCGGCGGTGAAGGAAAACATCGTAAGAAAACCTGTATGACTGAGAAATAAGAACAAAAATATATATATATATTTCGAAAACATGTGAAGTTCGCCAACATACAGTGGACATGTCATTGCCCCAAAACCGTCTCAGAAATGAGAGGAGGTCTGTGCCCAGCAGTGGGCTGTAATTTTAACTTTTAACTTGTGTGTTGTTGAGCTGTGTTGTGTTGTTGCGCATTCCAGCCTATGAAAGTTCAATGTTAAACATCCTCCCCTATAGATTGCTTCATAGGAGAGAATACTTGCCATAGTCGTAAAAGACAACTATGGGAAATGCGAGAAAGGTCTTATGGCTACCGATAGATAGCGGTAAAACCATCTCGTTAATTTCAAGTGTCAAAGGTGCGAGACGTCTTGTACTGTGATGGTCAAACCGCCTGCCAGGCGTGGTGGTTAATACAAGTTCTCTTTACAGCAGTGGCCTTTCTCGCGTTTACGAAGAATATTTATTTTAATTAAAGTCATCCAATTTGTGTGCCGTTTATTTATAATTGTTATATATTTTATATGCTATGCTACATCCTCGCAAATGTCTATCAACGATAAAAGCACGATTATACCTTAACATAATATACGAGATGTTATATACTATCTATCAGATACTGTACGTTCTCTCGAGATTGCCCTAGTTACAGTCAACACGCATTAGAGCAGCGCGGCGGACAACCTGTTCCTTGAAGCTCCCAGTAATAAAAAGAGACCATTATGACGTGATAGAGCCATGTTGCAGCTATATTATGGTTGTAGCACAAATTGGTCCGCTCGACCGGATAAGGACCACGCTCTCACAGAAAACCAACGTAAAATAGCAGCTCAATGGTGATGTGTTTCGTATGGTGTGTATAGAAAACCGGAGACCCTTTACACTGGATACGAGGCATTTTATCTTAATCCTCAGGGTTGACAACGCATCAGCATTTTGATTCTTAATCCAGAATAGATATCTATGGGTCATAGCATCCACTTAGCATCAGGTGGGCTAAGTGTTCGCTTGTCACCCTTATTCCATTAAATAAAACGCTATTAATTTACGTCCAGACGTGGACGAGTGCGCGGAGCCGGGCGCGTGCTCGCAGGTGTGCATCAACGAGAAGGGCACGTTCAAGTGCGAGTGCCACGCGGGCTACGCGCGCGACCCGCGCGACCGCACGCGCTGCAAGGCGACGGAGGGCCACCCCTCGCTGCTGTTCGCGCGCCGCTTCGACATCCGCAAGATCAGCCTCGACCACCACGAGATGGTCGCCATCGTCAACGACACCAAGTCCGCCACCGCGCTCGACTACGTTTTCCGCACCGGAATGATATACTGGAGCGACGTTACCGACGAGAAGATCTATAAGTAAGTTAGCGCTTTTTGGAATTTGTGTGTGTTTATGCAGCTTAATTTTATTTATTATTTTCACGAAATTTACTATGGGTGGCTTAATGCCCAAGTAACTCTATCATTCAAATTAACTATCGATGATGATCATCATGTTAATTTGTACTTACTTATTGTAGTCTTAATATATTAGAATTAATCCTCAAACCTATCTGATGAAGACGACAATAATAGTAGCTTAGTTAAAATCCGTGAGATTTTATGTCACACATTATGCTGCATCTATATTAGTAGTATAGTTGTAGCACGAACGGGTCAGCTCGACCTGGAAAGGAACGAATATCAGCGTGAAATAGCAGCTTGACACTGCTGTGTTTCGTATGGTGAGTATAGAAAACCGGAGACCCATTTTACTGGAAAAGAGGCATTCCATCTTAGTCCTCACTGGATCTGCATCTGCATTTTAATACTTAATCGATGATAAATGCAGATGCCTACGGGTCACTGGTTGATGGTTGCTACCACTTACCATCAGGTGGACTGTGTGCTCATTTGTCACCCTATCCTATAAAAAAAACTTATGATATCTATATTACAAGCATGTAAATAATTTACTGCTAAATTATGAGCTTTTTTCATAATCGCTTCGCTGTTTGGTTATCTAAATATTTAACGTATTATTCATTCATTTTCAAATATTATATAGAGATATTATTATTATTATTAATTTGCACAAATATTTGTCTTTGTTGGTTCTTAGAATTAAGATGTTAAAATTATTTATCTAAGATCGGCGTAGAAATAAAAATTATGTATATTATCTAGTTTAAAAAGCCCTCCCTCAATTGCGTGCACTATCCCCGTCACCATTAATCCCAACATCATCATCGTCATCATCATCTGAGGTATTACAGCAGCGGGTGGGCCTTAGCCTGGTCCAGCAAAGCTCTACAGTCCGATCTGTTAGAGACTTTCCTTCTCCAACTTGTTACTCCCAAGATCTTGATATCTTGTTCGACGCCGTCCAACCATCTGAGCTTGGGCCTGCCTCGACTTCTGCGGTCCTCCGGTCGGCCTTCTAAAAGGCGTTTGGGTACATTAATCCCAACACCTCTTCTTAGCTAAATAATTTTAACACCTTTAATATAATGGATTTCCGACAAAGTAACGCCTCATTCTATTAAGTGGTTCTCAGATCTTACTATCAGACTTAGATCTTTTTTTTCGATTCCAGGCGCCTGTTGGATATTTCTCAAGAGGTTATTTTATTTGTTCTGGCAAAAAACATTTAAAAATGTCTTTTTTTTTCAGAGCACCAATCGATGAAGGCAGCCAACGCACCGTTGTGATCGGAGACCAACTGATTACGTCCGATGGTCTGGCGATAGACTGGATCTACAATCACCTGTACTGGACTGACACTGGCAAGAATCACATCGAGCTGTCCGACCTGCAGGGCAACATGAGGAAGATCCTCATCAGGGACCGCTTGGAGGAGCCGAGAGCTATCGCACTCAATCCGCTGGACGGGTAAATTATGTCACATTTTAATTTTTTATTTTTAGCTTCTATAAAAGATCTCTTGCAAAATTATAGGATGTACACCAACGATCTATTCATTGCGACATTATTATGTCGATATTTGAGCAAAAAAACTATTGGCACAAATTGTAAATAAAACAAAATGGTGATAGTAATGTCAAGCGGTATTAGTTAACGCAAACTCCGGTATACTCTATACGGTAAAACGGGAACAGAGACGGGTACGGCGTCAGAAGTTGTAGGTCAGAAGTTCTAGGTTGGCCGGTGTTAGAAAATTAATGCACTGATGTCGCCGCCTGCTATGAAACCCGGAAATACATTATATTTATTCGGAACGATGAAATATATCCGTATTTATAAATAAACGTGCATTTCCCGGTTTATATTGCATCGCTATTGAATAATCTTGCTAGTAGATTCGTTGCAGGCAAGCATTGAGACTATTTATTTTTTTGTGGCAAGATTAGCAAAACGGAACACTTATTAAGTTTATCGGCGTATGACTCTCTCTGTCTTTTTCTATGTCACAGGAGGTTTTCTCGTTGACTACGAGTATCTTACACAAATTCTTGAAATTCGGCATAGTTTTAAAATACGATCTAAATTCGATATCTTGCGCATACACTTATTGAACATTTTTTTTTAAAGTAGGTACAGTAATAAAAAATATTTAATCAAGTTATTCATCTTGGCAAAGTTGTTAATCTTGGAAAGGAAAAAAATTGCAAGTTAATTTTATTTAAACCATCGGATGATGAGGCAGTTCCCTTTTTATACATTTCATAATTGCTGACCCCACCGTTCGTCCAAGAGTATCGCATGTATAAATGGCATGTATTACTTACGTATTGCTTATATGGCCTACAAAATAAATAACTGTGCTAGGTCTGAATGTGTGATCATGTACAGTTTATGTGTGTAAAACGCCTTCACGGCCAGAAAGAATAATCTAGTGTATGGGTAACGTTTTTGTAAGTGGTATATAATAACTTTCGTTTTATAACTAAGCTCAGTATATATTTGTTTAAAAGGAGAGAGATGTAGCGGGCATGTAGTAAATATTATGTTTCCTAATAAAACAAGAGCTGGTTCTCAGATACTAATAAAAAATTTCAGTCATTACGCATATCGGCCTAGAGCCGGACCACATTATCCGCCCTTTGAATATACAGTCACGGACTTCTTAGTACGTGACATTGAAAATGAAGCATTTTTTACATAAAAATAGATCGCCCGCTCCTCTTTTGAGTATTCATGTTGAAAGATATTTTCTATATTTTGAATTCAATATTTTCCGTCTAAAATAAAATAATAGAAAATATTCCTAAACACCATGAAAACGTTGTTTATTTACAATTTTTATTTATATGCGATATTTATGGCCCCGGATACACTAGGGGAAATTTTGTCCCGCAACATGTCGCGAAACCCTCAATTTACGTGACGACGCAACGTTGCGCAATGACCTGCAACATTTTACGTGATGCGGGAGTTGTTGCTTGTTCCCGCTCCAAAAGCAATCGCACGCACAGAACACTAAAGTTTTGGATATACTTGGGGAGAACAGGAAAGGCATGTTGCGCAACATGTCGCTCAACAACTTCGTGGAATGTTCCGAGACATATGTCATATGAAATGTTGCCCGAGGAGGTTGTGGCGATTAGTGCTGCGTACATAGTACTTACTAAGTAAGCGAAAGAAAAGGTGGTGGATGCGGTATTTCTTACTACAGCGAGAAGAACGAATAATAGTTTTGTACGTGGTAGAGCCATCCTGCAGCTATATTATAGTATAATTGTAGCACGAATGGGTCGGCTCGACCGGGGAAGGACCACGCTCTCACCGAATACCAGCGTAAAATGGCAGCTTTACACTGCTGTGTTTCGTATGGTGAGTGTAGAGATCCGGAAACCCATTTTACTGGAAAAGAGGCATTCCATCTTAGCCTTCATGGGTGACTTATTGAGGATAAATGTAGATGTCTATGGGTCACAGCAACCTCTTATCATCACGTGGACTGTGTGCTCGTTTGTCACCCGATCCTATAAACATTTTTTTTTCAAGTGATCTCCGAATGTTTTACGGATATTTTGTGAATTTTACTCGAACTTACATGTGATTTTGAAACTTTATTACAAATGATCGCAGCTTCCGTAACCTGTACACGTATCATGTACGTGTTCACAGACTGCAGACTTCCCGGAGCGTCGGGTCTGTGAACACGTACAAGATCACCCCCGTCCCTACATTCCTTCCAAGGATGATTCGCGAGGCTAATGAAATCAAAAAACATCCTAATTTCAATAGAGAAGATGGCTAGGTGATCCCATTATTAAAAAATTAGATATTGTAAGTTCATACTGCGTAGAGCGGAACAAAAAAAATTAATAATTTTTAATCTGGAGGTAACCGTGGTTAACTATGACATTGGGACGTCATACACCTAAGTGCCCCCGTGACCATGGGTGCTGTAAAGTGCTCGAAACGTTGGGAATATAAGTTAATATACGCGATAAAATTCGTAAAATTAGTTTTATTTAAATGTGTAGTGTTCGCGTAAATATAAGAAATCATTAAGGTTATTTATGTTCAGGGGTGAACTTTTATAGGTCATAATGAACTAAAAAGTTAATGAATGTTTCTTCACTGTAGTAGCTACTTGGCTATGGGGACTGTTGGTGTTTGTCACTATATTTTTGAACATAACGTAAAAAACTGCTGACTGTGCGACAAAATGCACGTGCTAATACAGACATATAGTCCTAGACTACAATATACCACTTATGCGATAAGATTAAAGCAGGTATTGCAATGTTAAAAAAAACTCACAGAGTACCAGCGTAAAAAAAAAACAACCGCTGTGTTTCGTATGGCGGGTGTAAAGAACCGGAGACCCTTTTTTACTGGTTACGAGGCATTCCATCTTAGTCCTCAGAGATAACAACGCATCTACATATTGGTTCCTAATAGAGGATAGATGTGGATGTATATAGACCACAGCATCCACTTACCATCAGGTGGGCTGTGTACTAGCTTGTCAGTCTCATTCTATTAAAAAAGCACACACTTTTTGATTGAGGGAAACTGAGACTTGAGAAATTAACTGTTACTGTTAAATGTTAGCCTCGGTTAGCATTCCAATGCAGGAACCGCGGCCCGCTATTATTCTTTTACGCAATGCTTTAATTTCTCTACCGACTTCAAAAAGAAGGAGGTACTCAAATCGACTGTATGTTTTTTATGTGTGTTACTTCATAACTTTTTTCTGGGTGAACAAATTTCGATGATTCTTTCTTATTTGAAATCTGGTGCTTCTCATGGTCTGGCCAAAAGTTTTTGAGTTATTGTTAATAATTTATATTGAAGTTGGTTGTACAATTTTTTTAATTATTAAAGATTCTTGTTCCATAATTATCATCATTAATTAATAGCATTTTCTTTTTTCTTTTTCTTTTTTAAACGTTACCCCACACGAGGATATTTCCTGTATCGAGGAGGCAGTTTACAAACATAAACTGCACAAGTACAAACATCCAGACCCGGAACAATTATTTGTAGGCCGCACAAATACTTGTTCCGTGCGGGATTCAAACCCGCGGCCCACAGCGTTGCAACTCATTATAAATGTAATATATAAAGGTTATACAGATATATTTCTGATATATTTCATTTTATCCTAATAATAATACATATATATATATAAATTAAACAAGCCTCATGGATAAAACTGAAAATATATTTTTTTTATATTATACTTAATGTCACTTCCACATCTAAAGGCTCGATGATACTGGGCTAGTTTACGAGCTGCTAGTCGGTGAGTTTAAAAGCTAGCAAATGAGCGAGTAAGCGAGTGTCGATGACACAAAAACTTTCCACTCGCTCAGTAGCGAACTAGCTAGCTAGCTAATATCAAATTTGGAACTGTTCAGCCTCAACATATTTCTATAGGTCAAAGGATCTTGGTCGTTCAACTCTCTCAATAAACCACTGGAAACACCATGTTCATCGCGTTTTTCTATCCACGGACTCACCCATTTTCTTTTCTGTTTCAAATTTTTCTTTAGTTTTCGTTGAAAATCGTTCTTGATAACATGAGCTAAAAGAACTCCTCCCGCGTGAACTACTTCCTTTGACATTTCAGCTTAAACTGCCAAAATGAAAAGATGCTCGCAACTAGTTCAACAGCAACGATGATGACACACAGCTACTTAACTAACTAGCCGAGTAAATTAGCCCGGCTTTCTATTTTTCAAGCAGCTTTTTTACAATCGGATTCTCAAAAGCAGATTGTAAAAAATCTCAATGACACAGAGCGAGTTTACAAGCTGCTCGCGAACTCGGTGGCTTGTAGCTTGTAAACTAGCCCAGTGTCATCGAGCCTTTAGATTAATCTAACGATACCCCTTATGTTAAAAGCCATCAAGCTGATAAGAATACAGAGCGTGCAAAGAAATAGATATACATATATTATACATACATACATACATGCATACATACACACATACACACATACATACATACGTACGTATACTCGAAAAACTTTACCTTCATTATGTGGCAGTTGGGTAAAAAACAACCTTAAACTGCCTGTACCTGTAAATAGGAAATTTTTTAAACAATAAAACAAAAAACGCGTTATCGCTTACAGAAATATAGTGTTGACTGTACAAACGATGTGATCACAAACGGAAAAGTACTGAAGCCGATAAACAATATAATTAGATTCTCAAACATGTCACATGCCTTGTCTAAAAATATTTGATTGATGGAAAAGGTTGATACCGACATGGAGCCTTTAATGAATTAATTATTAACGTCCCATCGCTAGTATCGTTATTTACTCTTTAAGTTTGACCTTGTCGCCTGTTTCTTCCTTATTATTTAAATAAATTTAAAAAAAATTGCTTACATTGAAATTTTTTTGCAATGAGGGTTAGATGCAAAGCTTTGTTGTCAGCGTTGATTACTGATATCCATATACCATTCCTAAAATATTTGTGTCACTGTCGATATGCAAACATCGTGTTTTTGAAATATGTTTTAAGTGTTTTTAAATAAATTCTTCTCAGAAATCTTGTTTTTTAAAAGGATAAGGTTGACAAACGAGCACACAGTCCACCTGATGGTAAATCTTATCTTCGACTACGAATCAAAATGTCATCCGTGAAGACTAAGATGGAATGCCCCGTTTCCAGTAAAAGGTGTCTCCGGTTCTCTACGCTCACACAGCAGCGTTAAGCTAGTACGTATTTATCATATTTTACGCTTGTACTCTGTGAGAGCGTGGTCCTTCCCCGGTCGAGCCGACCCATTCGTGCTACAACTAGACTATTAATATAGCTGTAGCACGGCTCTACCACGTATAAACCTGCATGTTTTTTTTCCTTTAGCGCTAGAATATATTATATCTAAGGCAATCGTCTATTTTTTATATAACCGTAATACGACACAATGGTCGAAAGCGGCTTGGAGGCAATCTTTATCGAAAATATAATATCATCGTATAGTTGATTTTTTTTTACAATGAAATCATATACTATATTAGATACTTTTTACATAAGCAACTTTTATTACAAATTGATAGACTACACTTTGAAACTGTGGAATAATGTAATAATTTTAGTAGCTACCTACATAATTTTCATTGACATTGTGGTTACTGACCATTCATTCATAGTTGCTTGCCTGTTTACTAGAGACGCCGCGAATACTCACTATTATTTGTATTCAGCAGTACTCGACATTTTTTTGTTATGCTTCGAATACCGAATAATAGCTAGTATTATTCGATATTCGGCGAATAGTTGTTTAAAATAAACTTTAAATTAACAAAAAACTATAGACTTAAAAATAATCAAACTTAATTTTTTCACTTAGTATTAATTATTATCATTAACATAAAAAATTAACCAAAAATCAGTAATTTCATGTTGAAGTCAAACCAACCTAAACACAAGCGAAATCGATTGGGCGGGAACAGGAAATCCCATACCTCCGTAGGAGTAATTGTGTTCTGTGTCCCATACAGCATTAAACGCGGGTTTATACAAAACGAGGTATACCCGTAAAATAGGTACAAGAAAAGGGTTGCCATCGTTTAAAATGTAAAATCATTATAAAATAGACTGACTAGATAGAGATGACTTCATTGTTTTTTAACCTTAGAATTTTTTTTTGATTACAGTAACAAATAAATGATTGGTATATGTTAAAGACTACTATAAGCGTGATATTTGTATTTGATAACAAATAAATTATATTTTATATTCCTCTTTTTATGTCGAATAATAATGGTGAGTTATTCGACCATTCGCTATAACAACTATTCGCGGCATCTCTACTGCTTACTGAATTCATTATTGAAAAAAAACTCATAAAACGGAATTGACGTAAAAGTTAAGAGGCAAAAAATTACATTAAGAATTACTTCAAACATTGCACGATGATGCAACCGTCTGTATATGTATGATTGTGATAAGATGAATCTGTTGACAATTAAAACAAAAATAATTTTAACGTTTTTTTGCGACCTAACGAGATAAGTTAATGGTTTTCTTTATAACCGCCTCTTAAGGGTTTTTCTTTACCGATTTATCATTTCAGATGGATGTATTGGACTGATTGGGGTCAGAACCCGAAGATCGAGCGCGCCGGCATGGATGGCTCCCATCGCCAGACAATAGTTTCTTACGACGTGAAGTGGCCAAACGGTCTCACATTGGATCTCGTCAGGAAACGTGTTTATTGGGTTCGTTATCTATAATTACTACCTTAATAGAACCAGTTACAGAAGGATAGAGAGAGAGAGAGAGTGAAATGATATTACTATTATTAAATAAAATATTTGGTGATGAATTTTTTATTTTAAGAATTTTACAGATTGTTCATTGAAATTACTTACGGTACGGTAGGGTACTTTATGGTAGATTTTTAGGCTTATAATGTTTAATGCTATTTTTAATCAAACTTTTACTTGTTTATACCTATATACTAGATGTAGGTACTACGTTAAAGTATGTACATCTGATAGAAGGAAACCAATTTGTATTTCCATATACTTTGTACATTAAGTAAAAGTAAATCGGAGGCCTTTATGTTGTAGTGTAATTGGGTATAAGTACCATGTTTCTGAAATGTTGCTTTACATTTGACAATTTATCCGTAGGTTGATGCCAAGATGAACACAATATCATCGTGCAACTACGACGGTACGGCACGCCGTTTGATTCTGTACTCGACCGACGTGTTGCGCCATCCCTTCTCCATCACCACGTTCGAGGACTGGGTGTACTGGACCGATTGGGACAAAACCGCCGTCTTCCGCGCTAACAAGTTCAACGGAAAGGATGTCGAGGCTATAACGTCAACTCATACGGTAGTGCATATGCTTACTATTACAATTTTTCTGTTTAGAATAGAATGAGAAGAAAACGTCAAATCATTCATTATTTACAGTCTATCGAAAGTACAATGCTGAACATAACAATATTTGTCATGGTCGACACGTTTAGGTATTTGGCAACCGCGATCTTTTAATGTTTTAAGTTGTTATCACAATGCTGTGGCTCATAGAACATCTACATCTATACTCACTTAAGAATCAAAATACAGAAATGCGTTGTCACCTCTAAAGACTTACATAGAATGTCTCCTTTCCAGTAAAAAGGGTATCTGGTTCTCTACACTGATCATACGAAACACAGCAACATTAAGCTGCTATTTCACGCTTGTATTCTATGAGAGCGTCGAGTTCACCCGTTCGTGTTGCAACTTTAATTAACGGCAGTGTGGTACTACTGCGTCCTCCATCCATCATCTATTCATTACAGCTTATAAAAGTCCACTGTTGAGCATATCTCCCTCATAGATCGCCTCTGTGTGGGGATGTTTCCATAGTTATCACGCTTGGCAGGAGGGTTAGCAACTGTAGTTTTTTTATTATTTTGAGTTGACTTTTATTATTTTGTAATGCTGCTACTTATCATCTGTTTCAATTTCCCTCTGTCGCCTATTATACCTGACATCTTACACTCTGACACCTACAAGAATATATGGGGCGAAAGATTTTTTTTTATAGAATAAGGGTGACAAACGAGCACACAGTCCGTCTGATGGTAAGTGGATACTGTTGCGCCTAGACATGTACATCTATCCTCTAAAATGCAGATGTGTTGTCACGCCTGAGGACTACGTTGGAATGCCTCGTTTCCTGCAAAAATAGGTCTCCGGTTAGAACCGGATATATTATTTCCTATGGTGAGTGTATCTATACACTCACCATAGGAAATTATATATCAAAATAATAGTAGATATTCTTACACCGCCAGTAAATGAGTATGTAGACGGTAACGCGTTTTTATAAGTGAGTGACGTCCGGTTGACATTGCAGCTGCAGAACCCGATGGTGATCCACGTGTACCACCCGTACCGGCAGCCGGACGGCGTGAACCACTGCGCGGCGGTGAACGGGCACTGCTCGCACCTGTGCCTGCCCGCGCCGCGCCTCGCGCCCGCCGCGCCGCGCGTCTCCTGCGCCTGCCCCACCGGCCTGCGCCTGCTGCCCGACAACCAGATGTGCGTCGAGGACAGTAAGTCGATCTTCATCTTTACACAAACGTTACACTCGAAGAGAAACACAGAGAGAGGGGAGCGTGGAGCCATCGCATGGACCATTCAGTTTTTATTGCAAACACCTGATACTACATTTTTTTTATAAATCCATCTGGAATGGTACCATCCTCTTACCAATTTCTGCGGTTGAATAGCAGAGCCAAGCAGAGTCAAACTGCTCAGATTACTGCTTCATGGTGCAGTAGCTTAGCGGTTAGTTGGGGCGTTAAAGACCGCGGTTTTGAATCCCGCACGGAATAAGTATTTGTATGGCCTACAAATAATTGTTCCGGGTCAGGATGTTAGTCCTTGTGAAATTTATATATGTAAACTGCCCCCACGATACATGAGAAAACCCTAATGTAGAGGTTACGTTTTGGAAAAAAAGCCATGATTACAGACTGTGAGGCATTATGTGTAGGCTACCATTTAATTTTTAGAAAAGTTTTTATTCTATACTCTAAAACGTAGACTTAGTCAATAAACAAAGCAATTAAAATAAAATAGTTGCGTTAAAATGGCGTCGGCGAATCGAGATTAACTGATCACTCCGTATTTGTTTTAAATAGGCACCCATTGTTAATATTATGTTAATACTAACAATGGGTTAGTATTAACATAAGTAGGTATCTATATATAAACATTTGAGTTTTACACAGAGCGCTGCGATTAAACATTTTAAACACAAATAGAAAATAAATATTTTTAAAAGAAAATAGTGATTTTTTTCCCCACAACTAGCAACATTTGTATTATGATAGCTTAGGTAAGTATTTTTTTAGTTTTATGTACTTATAATAAATTAAATATATAAACTTGTATGTGAAATGCAGTACCATCACTTCTTTTATGTTTATCATCACTGTTGTGACAATATTTTACAACAAAAACGGTCATTTTTACAATTTTTCGCGAGCTCTTCTCCGTAAGACATGACGTTGCGCACTTGCGCACTAACGCGTCGCTGAGTGAACTTACGCGCTTTCGCGTTAGTTTAACTTGCTTCACTTTTCGTGCGCGTACTAGTATTCTATGCGTAATAATTCTATGACTGTCAAACTTAGACAAGGGTAACTCGAAAGTCCTTACCTAACTCAGACGCAGTTTACTGCGCCGGTTCTTTGTGCTAACTCAAATTTGCGCAACATATTTTACATACAATATTCTTATTCAACGACGAACGAACGAATTATTATTCATCTCGGCCATCTGTCAAAAGAACACTGTGGCCAGAAAGTTGCGCGACGCAGCGCAATGTTACAAATATCTAGCCAAACTTACATTTTGCTTCGCATTGTAGGTACACTAACTTCAAGTCGTTGTGTTGACATTATGTAATTTTTTTAAAATTATGTTGTATTTTAATTTTATCTCATGTCCGCATTTTGTTATACTATTTTAATTAGTTTAAAAAATATTATTCTTAAAACGACAGTATGTCATAATGGTAATACAGTTAAGAACTTGTTGCTTATTGTCTAAGAATCCTACAGTGAAAATCAACCTTGGAAATGGGCATGGACGTATATGAAAAGGCGAACTGAATTCGTTATGCCTCGGCCACACACATCGCGATAGAATTATCGCGAAAAAACTTCGACTTCGGCCTAGCCCGAAGGTGCCTGGCCACACTGTGCGTTGTAAATTTTATTGCGCTAAACACACCCTAAAAACAAAATGGTACGCCACGGTCGCTCTGTATTATATGACAGCGATTTTTATTATTGTGTCAATTTTTAAAAAATAAGAAAAATATATAAATAATATGGGCTCGGACTCGTATTTACTTATAAATTCTAAAATGTTTTCATTACACCAATCCATGTCGGAAATACGTCGCAAACCCTAATTTACTTTGACAGATCCGCTACGCACGATGTCTGTGGGCAAACTAAAGTTACTGAAGTGTGGCCGCACACGCGAAGTCTAGCGAAACTTCGCACGATGTGACTTAACTAATACTTCATTCACGAAGGATTGGCGTCACGAACATACATTGCGATAACGCGAATATTCGCGCTAGCGCGATATATGTGGCCGCGGCATTATGAAAGAACTAATGCACTGCAATGGCGGCCTTGTATGTTGCGTGCAATAAAGGGTTTTCATGTGAAATAAAATTTCCCCATATGTTTTTATAAAACAATCTATCGAAATATAATATAACAATAACACAATACTAATTATTGTTACATAATTATGTAATATAAATAACTCAATTAAAACGATTTAAAAATCAAAGAAGTGATTATAATTACTGACTTATCTATGAAAGATAAATCCTCGATGATTTTTCATAAACAAAACGGAATATTTATTTTTGTTTTTTTTACTTATGACTACGACGTTCGTCGTGTAATGGCGGGCGTTCGGCTTATTATTAGTGGCAATGTGTGCGTGACTCCTTGTACGTACGACCTGGATTATTTGGGTGCTTCACTGGGTGCGTGACTCCTTGTACGTACGACCTGACTTATTTGGGTGCTTCACTAGGTTGTATTCAGTTCGCCTTTTTCATACGTCCGTGGAGATGGGGCTTTTATTGTAGTGGAGATTAACCGTCCAGCAGTGGCCTTTTACGGGCTGATAAAGAAGAATCTAAAAATGATGTTATCGGTTGGGTACAGTGGCAAAACTTTTGGCTATAGCTAACGCAGCGAGCCGCGATATCTGTTTTTTTTTTATAAATAGTAGAACTACAAAATAGCTAACAGTACTCGAGATGGTGACTACTGCAGCACGTGGATATCTGCAACCATATTCAAACTAAGTAGTCCATGGAAGCGTTGTCATCAGTATGAATTCCTCGCAACCTGTTATTATATTGGAACTCAACTTCGAACTGGAACACAGCATTGGGTGCACTAGTGCTTAACGACAGAAATGTAAAAAAATGAAGTAAGAATGACATCAACGATGGCAGTAAAGGTGCCCTAGTAGATAAGCAAAAATGCCCAGGACTTTTTAACAAATTCTTGGCAAGAAATCTATTCTTTATAAAGGAGAGGGAGGAGGGGAAATGTTTGAAGGGTGTGGAGAATAAGGGACCGGGCATTTTATGACATGGTATATAACATCTTCACTACTATTGTTAGCGAAGATTCCGAAACAAATTTTTGCCACCCACTCTTACGTTAAGCCAGCCACCTACCGGAACAACCTTTAACGAAAGGACGGTTGATTGTTGTTGATAACTGTGTGTTGTGTTGAAACCTGAAGACAACTTTACACGTTTAATTTCTCAGACATGCGATTAATAACATATACAATTACATTGATGCAGAAGGGAATAAAAATCGGGTTGTTTGCAACTTTATCTATCTATAATTTTCATTGCAATCTGCAAGACAACAAGCCTTCGATCATTATTTAAAATATATTGTATCATCGAGGGAAAAAAATGAGTATAGTTATCAAACATTCACTTTCATTACATATAGTAACGATCAACTTCTGCAATACGAGATGTAATAGGTTTAACGGGAATATCTATACTAATAGATAAAATTGAAGTGTCTGTTTGTAATGTCAAAATAAGAGTTTTTACTAAATGCATATGAAAATATACATACGGTACTTATAACAAAAAAACAATTATTACATTTTTTGTCTGTCTCTTTGTTTTTTTTGACCGATTTTGACGGGACTTTCACAGGCTGATGTTATAAGTAGTAACTTAGGCTACCTTTATTTTAGAAAAATAATTAGGGTTCCGCGCGAAAAAATTCAAACCCATGAAATCCAATCGTATAATAAATATAACGCGGGCGAAGTCGCGGGGAATAGCAAGTTATTAATATTAATAGCGTTACTACTAACAATAACAATATTTTCTTCTTCTATTAAATTAAAAATAGAAGAAGTGTATCACTATTCTTTGAGTTTAGGCATAGACTAAATTGTTACATACTAAATTACCTAATTGTACTTCAAAATAGTTACCTACCATTGAAAATTATAAAGGACATTAGATAGTTTTCATTTCGTTCATACGTAGCTACAGACCTTTACATAATAATTTTCAAACAACCAAAGTCGTTCTTATAAGCAGAGGCGTATCGTGGACTAATATAGACGTGGGCGAAGTCGCATTAGCAACGTACCTTTCTTTCGTTCCCAAAATTAATCCAATTTATCTATCCTACCAACATGCTTTGACACGACATACATGAGTATGTATTGTTAGTTCCTGACAAGTCCCGTATTTCGTCAACAACGGCCTCTTAAATTTGTAACGTTCTTTTTCGAGCGTAAAAGTGAACAAATTAATTAGTTTTCTATGGTAAAATCACTTTAAGTTCACTTTACCATATAAAACTAATAATGCCCCCAGCGGCATCGCATTTTAAGGGACCTCGCAAGGCCCCTTTAAGTGCGAGGCCGTGGGCAAGAGCCCAATTCGCTCACGCCTGGCTACGCCACTGCTTATAAGGACCAAATCCGGTTAAACCCTTTGGGTAAGGACTAGACGTGCATAGGCGTCAGTTTTCCACATTCCGACGAGTGGAAAGACGGGTTCAAGACACCACACTTATGTGCGCATTGTAAAGTTTTAATTTTTGCAAACTTTACCATTGCCTAAATAATAGGAATTACGCATAAAACAATTACAAATATTTTATTTTAATGTTTAGTTCAAATTTCAGTAACTTTTGATTTTTCTTAACACAAACAAAACATTCATTCATTTATTAAGGTCTTTTTTTTTTCATAACATTGCATTGTCTATTGTAATATCAAGTTAAGTTTCGGGTGAGGTACTGAAGCTTTTAAAACAACAAACATGTCTCAGCGTTCTATTATTTATTCTGTGTCTCAGCCATCGATATATATGTACTACGTACTAGATTTCCCATTCCGAACATACATGTTTAACTGAACTGTACTGCAGTCTGTACAGTGTGTCATTTAGTGTGGTTTCAATCTAATAGTTAGTCTGTGGTTTCTATATACATGCAGTGTGGAGCGGCGCTAATAA